TGGAGGGGGCGAGGGGGAGGGGTATTTGAGGCTCTGTTAGACCTGGAGCTAGGGACATTTGATAGTCGGGGCAAAGGGCGGAGATCCCGGGCCCTGTCAGATGTGAGACCTCGGTGGGAGGACTCGTCAAGTGGGGACCTCTTCTTCTGTCTTCTTCATTCCCTCCACTTCATTCTCCCCCAAAAAAAAACAAAAAACAAAGACAAAACAAAAAAAACGTCAAACCTCGAATGGGCATGGTCCCTCCTCCCACCGACCCCCACCCAACCCCGTTTCTCCGATTTAAAAGAACCCACCACACTGCATCCACAAACTCCCAATTATTTTTGGGCATACCCCCCATCCCTACCCTTTTCCCACCCTCACTCCCCCCTCCCAATACTGCCCCAATTCTGTAGTAGCCTGTCTCTGCAGCTCTTTCAGTAGAGATGTTGTAGTTTCTCAGGGTTTCTTAGACGCCCTCAATCCATTTTGCGTGGTCTACCTCTTCTTTTATAGCCTGAGTGCTTCTTGTTATAGGCTCTCGAGACTGGCTAGCTAGGTGACATACGTAACAGGTGGCCAAACTATTCCATGGGGGCTCTCGTGGCCTAGAGGTTAAGGTGTTTGCCTCTCATTCAAAAGTCCCGGGTTCGAATCCGGGTAGCGACCGAAATTTTTTCTTCTAAAAATTGTCTCCTGTCACCTCCTTTCCTGCTCTCAAGCAATGTTCTGTAGTCTGCTTTCGTCTCCACTTTCTGCCCCCACCCCCCTCACCTCCTTTGCCCCCTCTTCTAGGCTCCTGACTCTTTCTGCAGCCTTTCTACTGCGACTCCTTTGCTCTTTTTTACTGCTGTCTTTCTGCCACACCCCTGATCTTCTGGTAGGAAAGATCTACACCTAGCCTTCTCGGACAAGGGCAGAGGGCGAAAAATTCGGAGGTCCCTCGTGCAGGGTGCGCACGTTAAAGATCCCTTGGTGGACTAAAATCGATTAGAGCAGGCTTCGGCCTCCACCCGGGCAACATTTTTTAATTTCCTACCAACTGAAAATGTATGTGTCCCGCGCGCTCAAAAATATATTTTAAAAAATGTTGGTTCCAGACCTGGAACTTGAAGAAACATTCTCAGACTTGCCAGAGCTCGGCCCTAGTTTCTGTCCCCGTCAGTTCAAACTCCACAATTCTGTACACTTTTGCTCCCGACATTTGCCAGGTCCGCAAGACAAAAATAGAACAACATGTTTGTAGTTACCTCAGCTGAGACCAAGGGGCACTGAATCATCAACTAATAATAATAATAATATTAATAATAATAACAATAACTATATGATAAT